GGAAGAGAAAGAATGATGGTAAGTCAGTTTAAATTGGCTGCATTAGAAAAACCAAAAATGTAAACTACATGTCAAAAGTAAAGAAGAAATGTCTAATTGTTTTTCCATTTGTGGTGTGGCATCCCTCCTGTATATTTCATCAGCTTGTCATAAATTATTTACAGACTCAGAAACAGTAAGTTTTGTAAAGGGGTTAGAAATTTAAAGAATAGCCTTTATTATGTGGTAATGGTTAGCATTAAGCTTATTTTTTAGTTGGTATTGCTGAAATATATACCATAATATCAATTACTCCATCACATACTTTTGCTATAATTCTTTTCACAGTGTTCTCACAGGAATTTCAGTGTAGATGGAAGTTTTGTCTTTCCTCCTCAAACCTTCAGTGATATTGCTCTTCTAATGCTTGTGCCTGATCCTGCCAGGTATTACGGGATTCCTGGGATGTACTGAGTGTCCCTAACTCCCTATGCTCCCCCAAAACAACTTGACTGCAGTGGGAGTTGAGGGCACTCAGCACCTTGGAGAACTGATATCTAAGGTTATGTCTCCACTTAAAATTCTACAGCAGCATACATGCCACTGTAGTGCTTCAACATAGATACTTAGAAAGTGACAGAAGGGGATCTCCCATCACTGTGGTTAATCCACCTTCCTGACAGGTAGTATGGAAGAATTCTTCTGGGGCTTAGGTCAGCATAACTACAACACTTAGGGGTGTGGATTTTTCATACCCCTGAGTGATGTAGCTGGGCCTACCCAATTTTTTAGTATAGAACTGACCTTAGTAACAGCAAAATCATGTGTACCTGTTTAGAGAATCAGTGAATGAATCAGGAAGGGACAGAATTCTGTTAGGTGAGGTTTTTCTATTCAAGTATAAATACCTTGGCGACAATGCATTACTTACATACCCTCTAATTCCAAGTGGCTTGAAGGAAGCTTGGAATGCTCATGGTATGCTGGATGAAGCATAAAGATTGGACAGGACTTCCAGAAAGCATTCATGGCTCAAGCAGCTTTTGTTGAAATATTACAGTTTTTCTTAGTATTTATTTTACTAACTTCTAAAGAAACATGAAACTAGATTAGTTCAAGAAAGGAACCAACAGAGTGGGTTTTCAGTTGGACTAAAGATTGCTGCTTATTATGTAGATATTTAGTTCACTGTCTAAAATTAGGTTTGTACAGGTATATTAGGCAAAATTCACTGGGCAGCTCAGCCTGTGAGCCACACTAACTTAAACTTCCCTTAAATACATACCCAGTAAATAAGATGTAATGTAGCCTGTACTCTTAAACATCATGTCTGAATTTTGCTCACTTTTGAATCTGAGGGAATATAAATGTGTGTGATCTATATGCTAAAGATTCAGAAGAGAAGGCATTAGGGAAAAGCAAGTATAAGAGGTGCTATTTAAAGTAGTCTACCTCATACTGAAGGACAACCATGCTGGCAAGTCTCAGCAGCCCATGTCTTTCCCCCAGAGCTCCCCTTAAGACACATTCCTTCATCACAGATGTGGTGCATACCGATGTTAATATTGATTCTATGGGTACATTAATATAGCACTGGAATCTACATGGTGCTGGTGGTGGAAGAAAGGTGCTCAACTTTTTCAGTCCTACCCTTCACCACAGAGGTGGCATTACCCACTTTTACATTCACTGATGAGGACCTGTGCAGTTTTTTACCTGTGAAGGCAGCAGAGATAATATGGCCTGCAAAAAGCCTAAAATGCCAGTGCTTGATATTGTCAAGTATATTACTTTAGATTCTCTATAAAGTTCAGTCCTTTACAGATACTAACAGGAGTGTGTTTTTTTTAATTTGGCTGAGTTTCCGTGAAGCCTGTAAAGTGTCAGTGATCACTACGCTACCATTTTAATGTGTGCTTTGTAAAGTCTTAATATAACATACAGTCTAGAGTACAAACATTTACCAGCTGTTTTATTCATGTGCTTCAGGCAAAATCTGAGTTTCATTTGAGATGCTCAGCAACTGCATGGGAGCATCATTCTCAGATACAGGCATCTTAAATCCCACACCTGAGTTCTAAAAGCAGCACACAGGGAAATAAATACCCATTTTATGTGCTCAGCTGTCAGGGTGAATATGGACATCTTATTTAGAAATTTACATTTGAAAAGTGGGCCCAGAGTGTGAAAAAACAATATTGTGTATTATATTTTGCACTGTATACAGTCCTTGTATAGCTTTAGTAAGACAGGCAAATTGCTTATCACTGAAGTACATATTATTCCATCACTTTTTCAATCATATTTCCTTTTTGCCTTCAATTTGTTTTGCATCAAAACTCTCCTTCAAAAAACTGCCTCTAAATGTCAGTAAAGTATTATGCAAATACATTGAACTGTTCTACTCTCTAGGGTACATACTGCAGTATATTATAAAATGTCATCACTTGAAAGTCACTGTGGTCCAATGGAATGAACACTTCAAGATTTTACAGCTCAATGAAGACTTCTGCCCAATTCCCAGCTTTGGCCAAAAAATAGGAAACAGAAATACCAGGATATACAGGCAGTCCCCGGGTTACATACAAGATAGGGACTATAGGTTTGTTCTTAAGTTGAATTTGTATGTAAGTTGGAACTGGCTCCAGATTCAGCAGCTGCTGCAACTGATCAGCGGCTGACTACAGGAAGCCCTAGGCAGAGTTGCTCTGCCCCCGGATTCCTGAAATCATCTGCTGATCAGTTTCAACAGCGGCTGAATCTGGACTCCTGGGACAGAACAGCTGGGGCGCTGCCAGGTAGGTCTCCGCAGGACCAACCCGGCAGCACTCCAGCTGCTCTACCCCAGGCGTCCTGCAACAAAACCCTGGTCTGCGGGGAGGAGAGGGTGGCGCACTAACTGCGCCCCCTCCCCCCCCCCCCCCCACAC